TTTGCTGACTCTGTTCTAAACATTTTGAATTTCAGCATTCCCATGATGTATCCTTGGAAGGAAAAGATGTATAATAATAAGGTTATTACGAAGATACCTTAAAGTATGCACTCAAACAGTACGCCACGCATCGACCTCCGCTGCACGTCGGTCGATACTCCAGCTGTACTGTCTTTGGGCATACTTTGAGGTATTCTTGTAATAATCTTACATTATTGCTGTTAAAGAACAACAATACCACCTGAAAGTACCAGGATGAGTGACCTTTAGGTGGCATGACTAGAGCTGATTCATCAATTGTTTTGTAGTGTTATACCCAATCAAGCAACTAGTGTACTAGTGTGTACAAATTGAGCATCATGGATTCAAACATTCCAAAAAAGGTAAATTAACCTAAATCAAACCACTACAGCATGAAAAATAACAAATAGAATAGAATAGAATAGAATAGAATAGAATAGAATAGAATAGAATAGAATAGAATAGAATAGAATAGAATAGAATAGAATCAAGTTATAGTGATGACAGAGATTTGATGAGAATATCATTAGGGTTTTGAAGCCAGTGAAAACTGTAACAGTAAACAAATTACACTCAAAATTTTGTATTCACTATTAAATTATGAATCTGTAAAAAAAATTTAGCAACGAAAACCATCATTTTATCTATATTTTTTTGTTATGTGGATGTTATGTGATAAATTTTGTTAAGCAAATATGTGTGAATATTATGGGATATTCATCCATTACATTTAAAGTATAGCTCTTAAATGTGGTCTTTCAGGTATTCATTCAAATATTTGATTAGGTATATGTACCACAGCCATTAGTAACAACGGATAAAGACAGTGAGGGAAATAAAAAACAAAAAAACGCTGACCTATCAGCCAAAACCAGGTGGAATTTCTACTCATAGAATGCTGAGATAAACATTGTAATTTTCTGAATGGAACAAACACTAATGAAATCATAAGCTTCATGAAGAAACACTGGGGATACCATTTCTCTTGTTGCCACACTGAGTTGCGAAACTATAAATAAATGTGAGAATGCGGTGTAGGGTTTCGCCAAACTCAATTCAAACAACCGACTCAAATGCGAAATTGTTAACGCTACACATTCTTCAAGCAAAGTTGCATGTATATTTCAGTGAAATGTATGCCAATAAAATAGCTAGAAATTCAAAGTGGAACTATGTGAATTCAACAGAGGTGAAAGTTCAAACTAGAAACGGGGTCAGATGTCCAATATAGGTATTTACATAGATGAAGCATGGTTCACGCATAATTAGTCGGTGGGTTCAGACAAGTTTCTGACCACATCAATTAATTTCAAAGTGATACATTCTGTACAAAGGGCAATCCTGAGGCAGGAACAGCATAATTACTCTTGTATTTGTACATTCCATCTCACAAATTAATTACCATGTATTATTTTGTAGCAACTTTTTAAAATCAGCATTATACAGCAAGTTACCACTTAAATCAATGAAGGTCTTGAGTAAACATGAAGGGAACGAGTTCAATTACTCATCTGAGGGCAATATAGAAAATACTAATATTAAGGAGTTACTGTACACGCATTAATTATTCACTATTTTTAAGTTCATTATTTTCACTGATAAGTAAAATTCGCTCAGTTAAATCCATGTGAACATGCAAAGCTGAGGACCAAATACTAATGTGAGGGCGCTATATCAAATACTATTGTTTAGGCCGCTCTATCAAATATAAATGGGAGGGCGCTGTACCAAATACTATTGCTTGGCTGGTTCCTGCCTCAAGTGTCATG